GTGTGTGTGTGTGTGTGTGTGTGTGTGTGTGTGTGTGTGTGTGTGTGTGTGTGTGTGTGTGTGAGATCATTAAGGTAGCTACATTATATCTCTTATATGTAGTGTATGTTGAAACTTTACAGAGCAGTTAGATTTCTAGAGGGTTAAAATACAACATTCAAAAACACTAGCAAGTTTTTAAACAGAAGAAGCTAGTTATTCAGTATGAGTCACAAAAAATGCTAAATACAAACTGTGATGTTTTTGTTGGCTTTCATATTTTAGAAACAAAAGACGTATGAATCACTATAGCTCAGAGTACAATCACTCAAATTGTCCGCTCTATGACACTGTAATCCAATCACACTCCTTGCGGATTCCTAATTGCCACAGGCGACATTACCATCATGCTCTGACATGATGGTAATGTCTTCCAGAGTTATGTATTTAAATTCACTACTAATATTGTAGACACAGGTAAGATAACAGAGATTTCAGATATCTAAGTAGTTTATTTTCATTTTATAAGAAAGAAATCATGTTTGCCTCAACACCCATACTGAGATGATCTACCAATCTATCAGCACCTACATTTCCACTCCAGGTACCTATTCTGTCCCTGAAACTTCAAAGAAAGAAAAGGTTCCTTTACACTGTTGTTTATATGTGATTCCACTTCAGCCTGAAGAACCTCAGAGATTAGGCAAATTAGTTCACTGATGTAGAAACAGTTATTCTGACAAGACTTTCTAAAAACATGGCAAACCAGACATTCCAGCTGTGTAAGCCTCTCTTGTCTTGCTCAAACAGAGCAATCAAAAGCTGTGCTTGGGCCAGATTTAAATGTTATCTTTATAAAAAGTAAGTTATCCTAACAAAAAGCAGTCACCACTCACACATCCCTAAACTTCCAGAATGTGCCAACCCCCCTGAGCAGGGACTTTGCTGGGGGTAAGATATTGTAGTTCTTATTGAAGTTAAGTGCATTGAGCATCTTCAAATGTTCCTATGGTAAAAAAAAAAAAAAAGCAGCTAATGCATCCATCCCTCACCCTCTTTCAGCTGCAGCAGTACTGTGCTGTCAGTGGGATCACTGCAGAAGTAGCCTCCGCCCTGATCATCCCAGAACAACACGTCCTGCCTCAGCTGCAGCTCCTCAGCCCACTGCAGCCACTCTGTTTGTAGCGTGGCCTCGTACAGGTCCAGCAAACCACATATGATGAAGGCATAGTCATCCAGGAAGCCAGAGATAGACGGAGATCTGCAGAGCGCAGAGGGAGAAAGTGAAAATCAGAGGAGCAGGAGAGGAGAGTGGGAATCAGTACAATTTTCATTAAGAATTTATTGATCGATGCGTTGACATGAGTTACTTTTAGTGAACTAGTTTTGCTTTGTTTTTTTCTCCATTCCATGCTTTACTTTATACTGCCTGAGGAAGACAAACAGCCAGATGCTAAAGAAATGTGGAGGGACTGCCTTACAAAGGCATTACAAAGAGCCTGAAGGAGATACTTGGGACAATCCACGACTACATTATAATACACATAGTTAGCTGAGTATAATCACTTCCTGAAGCATTTTTCTCAATGTGTAATTATTCATCTGTGTTTCTATAGTAAAGGCAAAGACATTCGCATAGGCACACAACTGCATACATAAGATGTCTGACGTTTGAAGCAACTCATTTTCCTCCTCCACTTCATTCAGACGAGTTCTTTTGTCCTACCAATTTCTCCCAATTTTACAAATCACTCTCTGTCAGTGAAATTGATTCTGATTTATTGTTCAAGACTTGTCCTTCACAATGTTGCTACTGAGTCGCTGCAAATCAGCTTCTAAATTCGAGGGTTATTCCACCACGTGCTACTTTTCCCCTCCAATTCTTATGACGGCACCCCGTCTGAGTGAGTGCATGGGGACAGACAGTGACAGGAGGCCAGACAGTGCTGTGACATGAGAGGCTGATGGCTGGCGGTCAAGAGGCTAAAAACAGGAGGTGCACTTGGAGAAGATAAAGTGCATGACTTTAAGGTCATGGAGCGGTGTGGAGTCAGAGAGCAGCTTTTCTTCCCCAGAAAAAAGGTTGATTCATGAGCCAACTCATACACAGAGCAAAAGCACTTGTTCTAGCCAACTCAACTCAGTATAGGACTGTGCAAAAGTCCTGACCCACCCACTCTTTTCTTTTGTTTCCATGGAGCCAGAATTTCTTGTTATTTTTAAATTGGCCTTAAGCAAAAGCTCTGAGGCTTTCTGAAGTGGCTTTGGCCACTTTATTCACTCGTTTCAGTCCTTGTAACCTGACAATTATCATATAGATTATTATGTAAAATCTGAGGCCATGGTTCTCAGCCGGAAAGGGGTGGAGTGCCCACTCCGGGTCGGGGATGAGTTCCTGCCCCAAGTGGAGGAGTTCAAGGTTCTCGGGGTCTTGTTCGCGAATGATGGGAGATGGGAGCCGGAGATCGACAGATGGATTAGTGCTGCGGCCGCAGTGATGCAGCTGGTCGAGCTACGTCTCTACCCTCAACTATGGCCACGAGCTGTGGGTAGTGACCGAAAGAACAAGATCGCGGATACAAGCGCGGAAATGAGCTTCCTCCGAAGGGTGGCTGGCCTCTCCCTTAGAGATAGGGTGAGAAGTTCAGCCATCCGGGAGGGGCTCAGAGTAGAGCAGCTGCTGCTCCACATCGAAAGGAGCCAGCTGAGGTGGTTCGGGCATCTGACAAGGATGCCCCCTGAGCGCCTCCTGGGTGAGGTTTTCCAGGCATTTCCCACCAGGAGGAGGCCCTGATCTATGTTTACACATAGCAAATAAATGATTTTTCTTATATTTTCTATATAATTAAAGGAATGTGATTTCTTTTTTTGTCAACAAGGAGGCCGTTGTTTTTTGAGTTTGAAACATAAATAATTCCTTCCAGCAAATTGATGCGTTCCCATAAAATCCATTAAAAAAGAGAAGTTGTAGGGTTTCTGTGGAGTGAAGAAATGAAGGATCACACCTCTGTTTTACAACAGCTGGGTATAAGCTTACATTATTATTAACATTAAGGAGGACTCTCCTCCTGATAAACAATTTTATGTTCTCAGATCGTATGAGAGTTTATTTGCCAAGGGCAGGAGTCCAACAATGTTACCTCCACTTCAAGTTTCACTAACGTCGGCTAACAGCAGCTGATAATGGCAAAAAACAGCAGAGCTTAGAAAACGTGATGATTACAACAGGGTTCATACGCCTTTTTCAGGGTCAAATTCAAGCACTTTTTAAGCATTTTCAAGGTCCCTTTTCAAGCTTTTACAGCACATTCTCAGTAAGACCATGTGAAGATTAAAACAAATCATCCAAGGTGAACTTAAACACCTTTGATCCCCTTTTGTTAAGACATAGAAAAACGCACCACACAAAAATACTGCAAAAGGAAACGGTCGCCTTATATACATAGTGTATAAACTCAAAATGCACATCTCACTTAAAAAATGTGAAAATGTGAACAAATCAACTTGTTAGAGATGTTCTTCTCCTGTTGAAAAAACAAAAAAGAAATAAATAAGTCTTCTCATCACATATTGATGCTTCTTTCCTGTGTGACAAGAAATAGGAGAGATCTTTGTTTGTTTTTTAAGTTAATTCCCAATAAAACTAACTGTTTTATTGCTAACTACATTGCTGTCTGTATTATTGCTGAAATCCTAAATGATCACCTTTAAAGTGTTTGTGCTAATAACATCATGGACAGTCAGACTGACTGGGAGCCTTTAAACAGATCACATAGTTCAATTCAACATATAAGACTTTAAGCATGCACAAGCATCTACTTAAAATCTATTGAATTTATCATCTGTGATATTATTATGTACAATTTAATGTATTTTGTTCATCTCCCTTAAATAAACAGGCAGCCTTAAAGTATGAAATATTCGTATACAAACACACATATAAATGTGTGTAATGTCTCAGTGGCTGATAGAGCCCCACAGGCCTCAGTGTGAGCTTGAAGACATTCATACTGTTTAAGTAGTTTAATGTGCAGGTTCTGACGATAAACACATTTTAAATGAAAGCCGCGGAACTTTGGTAGCACAGAAACAAGTGGCTATTCTTTGTGACCATATGGATCACTCATATTACCATTATTTCACCCAAAGGCACCAAGTTAATACTAAAAAGCTGCAGCAATACACACAAATATAAACAGTACTTGGTGACAACTTTGCTTTTAGCCTTTAACCCTCTGGGGTCCAGGGTGTAATTGGCTGTTTTTGACTACTTTTGATTTGGCCTCTATATTTCATAACAACCAAATGCCACATGTTGCCATATCTTTTTTTGATTGGTCAACATGGTACATTTTTTCCACCAATAGGGAAGGAGTGTTTTTTCTTTTTCTTTTTTCATTCGCAAGCAAAGCGTGTTTGCTAGCGCTCTCCTTAGAAAACGCCGTTTTTACCGTTTCTTCCCGGAGTAAACGCCACTGTCTTATTCAGAAAAAAACAAAAAACATCGGTTTTACGTGGCCTATCAACACAATTTAAAAACTGGTGTATAGTTTGAAGTCTGCACGTTCGACCCAAATTGAAATGGAGACTCTGGGTCCGTCGACCCCAGAGGGTTAATCAGAAAGCCTTAAGTTGGCTAGTTATGTATCGGGCTAATGTTTAAAGCTTTCACTTGAGTAAATTAACTCATATCACTGCTAAGTAATGTTAGCTAAGTTCACAGCATATTCCATAATTGCGCTGCCGTACTGTATCACACTCAGTGCATTTCAATAATTTCTCCAGCGAGTTTTATAGCAAAATGATAATCATAATTTTAAAAAATAGCATGTGTAACGTCCCATATGGAAAAGAAATAGTAAAAACGTATAAAAGACTTGCATAAGATGTGGCCTATTTCATATAGTAAATCATATAAGGCTTATATGATTTACTCATGAAAGTGGCCACTTTCTCATTACTTTCATATATTGTTTTAGTAAGTATCCAAAACATACAAGTTTCATTTATATAATTTTTCAAGGGATCTTATATCTGTTTCACTCTTGTATGCTTTTCATACAAGTTTCACACAAGACATAAATCTTATAAAGTTTGTATCTATATATCTTTTCCATATGGGGTACACGTACTGGAAAATTATTTACTAGGCCTCACCTGTCACGCGACTGGAGAGCGCAAACTCCGCCATTGTCATTTTCCAGCAAACACTCGTTAAAACAGCAACCTACAGGTATGTTAGCGCACTCATCCCCGACTGTCCGAGGGAAGGGCGGGGTCACACGTTGAAACAGACGCAAGGCAGCCCAGGCGGGGAAATTTTACTTTTACATTTTGCGACTCATATTATTTCTCTATCTGATAAGAAAACTATTCAATCAGATAGTTATTTGTGGTGAATGAAATACAGTTACACTTTCAAGCACTTTTAAGCGCCACATCTGAAATTCAAGCACTTTTCAAACCTTGAAAAGACAACATTAAAATTCAAGCATTTTCAAGTATTTCAAGCACCCGTACGAACCCTGTTACAAGTCCTTTAAGATGCCCGGACAAATATCCCTTGAGATTGATAAAGAATAAATCTGGTCATTCCAGTTATTGCTTGACAGAACTGTGAAAACTCGTTTTTGCCTCATATTCTGTACTTCCATTTATGCTTGCACGTTTCAGTAAATCGCTGCACTCATTTCCCACTTTCCTTACAAAATATAAAGAAATTTTACACTGGCTTAATACTTTTGCACAGTACTGAGCTTACAAAGCAGATATATAAATAATAATGAGAAGTTTATTTTCCCTAAGATCTTTGTTGCATGAGCCTCATGAAGTCTGGGTCTTTAGAAACACCCACACTATGCAGTGATTTAGAAAACTACTGCAGTACTGGCACAGAGTGTCTGCTGGTGCAAAGTCTTTAAATTGAAAACAAAAAAAACATTTTAAATTACATTTAACACCAGACACATCAAATATTGTATTTCAATAGAACACAATCTCAACCTTCCCTACACTCACACACAGACATTACTAAGCCAGCTTCTCAATCATTTTTGTTTTCTTAGTTTAAAAAACAAAACAAAAGAGGACAACAGCCTTTTCAGTCACACAGCAACATGTCATCTGGCTGAGGTGACTCCAGCCACAGGGATGACCGCCAGAGACGAGCGCTAAAGATGACCTCACTAACACACAAACACAAAAATGTAAAAAGCCTTTCAGAAATACTCGACAGCCTTTTCATTCACACCTTCAACAGCCCGTGTTAAATGAGTCATTTCCCTGAGAGCAAAGATAAAACACCTTGTCAGTCTACTGTATCATAGCACCGTGGGGGACACTTTTAGAATGATGGCTTCATCATGGTTCCCAGATACACAGGCACTCACTTCCCACTAAATAAAGCTTAGATGGAGGAACTTACTGGGGTGATGTGGGTCACAGAAAGGCAACGGGTCCCATCGTTTTAACAACAGCACTGACCTTTATGTTCGAGTCTAATTTAATATGTTTGCTCGTCCCACAGAACGTGCTGCTTGAGGAGTCAATTACATATGAAAAAACACAATTGTGAACAAAGGAGAGACAAAAATAAAACACACAGAAGGAGATTCCCCTTTCTGAGTCATTAATAAAACAATGTAGCTAACCCTAACAGAAGCCTATGATACTCTGCAGACCCTTGAAATTAATTTGAATGCCCTCATCTAATTGCTCTTTATGCGCCAGCCCATCAGCGTGTGTGGGATTGTGTATAAAACTGTAATTGAACGGCAGTGAGGTGGAAAAAGAATAACTGCTTATGACACTATTAGAGTGCAGTCAAAATCACATTTGATTATTGGCTCAAAAAGTTTGAATTTGCATTACTACATATTATTGTGATCTTTGGAAAAACAAGCAAACAGACCCACACAGTAATGACAGGCTCATGCTTAAAAAGCCAGATTCATTTTAGCACAAGAAAATAACATTTAATTTAAACTGCAACAGTCATTGAATGAAAACAAACCATCCTTAAAACTAACATCATTAAAAATCAAATCAAATTGGTGGGCAGTGGGGGGGTGGGGCTTGGAGCCTATCTCAGCTACCATAGTGCGACGGGCAGAGTACACCCTGGACAGGTCGCGAGCCTGATGCAAGGCTAACATTAAACTAAAACAAAATAAAATAAATTAGGGGGCTCCACTATAGGTCAGCTGGTTGACCAGGCAATACATATGCCCCAACAAGGGTCTGGGCTCCATCTCTCCCCACACAATTTCATCTGGCCCCACCCTTTCTTCCTACTTTGGATAGTACAGAGTAGACTGCAGTCTAATAATTCTACAATGCCAAAAAAGAAATCTTAAAAAAACAACTAATTGAGAAGTTATCTCTGCTAAGTGTAGTGCTGAAGAGGCTACAGCAGCAGCCTGAGTAATGAGTCAACATCACCAGTGACCCACTTGCCATGGCTATACTGGATCCATTGTCATGCCTTCCTTTGGTTCCTAAAGACCTTGGTGATACTCTTTATGATCAGCTCCTCAACATTACCACGGCCTATTAACCCAGTTAGCCTGAACACCTACTATTCCTCCTGGTAAATTAGCGCACGGCCCATATGTGCCTGGCCTGGTGTGACAGAGTGATTTACCAATGTACAGAAAGTAAACCAGCCCTGAGAAAAGGGCTTTGGTAAGCACTCTCAGTGCCGACCCCATCTTGAATTGGAACATTATGAATGAGACACAGGCTGTGGAAGACAGAGGCTCGTGGTGTTTATCTGTTTATATGCGTGTTTAAAATTGCATGCATTTCATGCTGTGATGTGGGCTTCCTGGCATATTGTTCTGCTGATTCGGCTATACTGCATACTCACTCATTCGTAGTAACTAGGACATAGGGCTAGCCAACAGAACGGGGACACCTGGAGTGATGGTGTAGAATCAACAAGAGACTCTGTTCGTTCCGCTGTGTTTGTCACACTGATGAGAAATTCTGTTTGTATTTGGTCGTCTTGGCCATTTCAACACAAAAACCAGAGCTTAAGCTTAACAGTATTAGCTTAACTCTGTGCCATCTTCCACTTCATGTTAGGCTTAACTGTAAAAGGTTCAAAATCAAACACGGCACCCCGTAAAAGAAAACAGTCATTCTAAGACAAAACAGATTTTGTACTGTTGCTATGTAGGCTGAAAAAAAACTCATCACGAGTCATTCAACAGGCGTCTTTAACCCAGTTAACACAGGGCCAGTCTTGTCTCAGATAGACAAAATGATAGAAACTAAAAGAGAAAAACTAATTACTGACCTGCAGCATGTAAATGTGGCTTTGCTATAACCAGGTTACTAGAATGCATGTGAACATGTTCTCTGATTTCTCAGAGTAACCTGATTTATCCAGATATAACCGTTTCCTGTTTGCATATAAACAGCCATCTCAGTACAGAACTACTGCGTACCGCTCCTCTACTACAAAGTGAAAAAAAAAACATTTTCCACATCCTATTTAACAATGTCACACAGTACAAAAGGGACAAAGCTTTCTGTCATTTGGCATTGAGAAGCTCAAGATTATAACCTCATATCATCTCAATCATCAACATCTGGAAAAATCCTGGTGTGGAGGATCATCCCTTGCAATTAGGCCTGGGTCTCCAGTTTAGAGCTGGGCGATAGAACGATAACGATATGTATCGCGATATAACTTTTACTCGATAGAGAAATTAAGCTATCGCGATAGACCTCGCCGCTCTTGTCCTCTTAAAAAAAAAAAAAAAAGAGTCAGCCAATCCAAATTAAGTAGCGCAGAGCCGAACCAATCACAGCCGCAGCGTCACGTCGCGTGACTTGTTACGTACAGCACAAGTGCCAAGCCGCACGTGTGTTTGTTTGGGAAGCAGCCAGCGGGTAATGGAGGAAATGAGTGTGCCGACTAGAAAAATCAACCGAGCGTGACCGAAGAGAAAACAGATGATGGTTCCAATGCCGGAGAGATTGTCGAACGGAAGAGCCATAGAAGTTCCGTAGTGTGAAGGTATTTCGGCTATTTCAAGTCTGACAAAAAACAGAGTAGCGTGCACTGTAAATTGTGCCGAAAGCAAGTCTGGAAATACAATAAACTGGTGCATGCGTCACACTGTGCGCCACGTTATTGTTTCGGTGAAATGAATTTCTACAATACTGTTACTGTTAATTCTACTCTCTGCAGTGTTTAAATGCTTACATATACACACAGTTACTGTCCCTCCACACATACGACTCGGTTCTGCTTCTATGCCCCAGCTTTGTTTACTTTTTCCCACCGAGGCTTCTAGACTTCTGATTGGCCAACATTTCTGCACGGTTAGGAATCTAGCGCCACCTGCTGCTTTGGCATGTTCATAGCAGCGTTTTCCTTCATTTCTGCCTTTATGTGTGGACGGGATTATTTTTTAAAACGAAAACGGAAAATCTCCGTTTTCAAAAATACCCGTGTACGTGTGGACGTAGCCTCAGTCTCTGACTGGAAGCGCTAATTCGTCATTCGGCTTTTGTCAGACTAAAGTAACTGTTAAAACTGTTTGAAAAGCTCAGCTATACAACAAGGAGAGATTGAGAATTTCCTTTTAGTTCTCAGTTTATTTGATATTGACAAAAGTTAGTCAGTTTTGTCTGTTCTTCTGTAAAACAAACTAAGATTTATTTTTAGAATTAATATTTTGTTTCTAAGTGGAATTGACAATTTAGTCTGTTTCGTTTGTTCTATTTTGAAACTTAAACGCTTTAGCGGCTGCCTTTTGTGTAGTTTGCAATATTTGCCTTTATTTATCTGAAAAAGTCTCATGTTCCTTAAGTACATCTACCCTGTTGAACTTATTATGGGAAATAAATATTTAAATAAAAACAAGCTGCTGATTATTTCACATTTTACTTGTGAGCAACGGCACATTTAAATCTTACAAATATAGTTATTTGGCTTATATCGTGATAGATATCGTTATCGCCTGAAATGAAAAAAACATATCGTGATATGAAAAAATCTCATATCGCCCAGCTCTACTCCAGTTCTAACAGGACAGTCTTCAAAGACCACACAGTCATCAGCCTGAAGGTAGAAAGACTGAGATTCTAGACCACAGAGTGAGAGATTAGAAACCTGACGTTATGATGTGACGTCTAAAGGCCCCTGAGAGAACTTCCAGCGGAAACAACCAGAACTCTGATGTGTTCCAGCAAACTCAAAGTTTTCTGGCAACGCGTTGATTACAACTCGGCCACCTTGAGAACTCTGTCTGCCACCCAAAAATGAAAATCAAGTTGAAGGATCACCGCTGGAGAAGATCCAGTAGATGAAGGCACAAGTGTCCACTAAAACCTAAAAATAGCAAAATGCTCAAAACAGTCTAGAGGCACAACAACAGGAATATTTTAAAGGAGAAATCAACCAAACCCAAAATCAGCTAAGGCTTTTCATTTTTGTGGGCCCAAATACTGGATCAGACCTCATAAATCTAGCAAACACTTCAAGAAAGCGAAGGAAACTCAGACAAATACAGAAGTATTTCCTTTGTGGTCTTCTGCTTTCTCATAAGAACTAAAACATTCAACAACTCTCTCGGCCGAGGAGGACTCAATTTAGCAAAACTTGTTCAGTGCAGTGGGTTCAGCAAACCTTTACTTTCCATAAATCATATTCATTTCATTTTGGTTTCACTCCATAACCTTCCCGCCTCACCTGCAATGACTCTATGCCCTACCCGTGAGGCTCGCTAAACTTCAGGAAAAAAGCACACATGCAGTGTCTCTGAGAGAATTTTGTACTACAGATGCATCGAATCAGGAATAAAATTCTGAGACTCTGAAAAATCCAAATCAAGGTTAGGACAAACATCCTCTGACAGCTTTCAGTCACAGTTAAATATTCAAAAACTGCAGGACTGTGTGGGTCTAGTCTGACATGTATGTGAACAAAAGCATCAAGCAACCAGCTGTCATCAGATTCTCATTCTGACTATGATCGCTGAATTAAAGCTTTTAAAAACTGAGCCATCAAAACTTTCTCTCGCTTACATCTGTTGCACCTCCATCTGGTCTCCACGGTAACAAGATCGAAGGATGGTCTGCTGCTTAGCGTCCCACAGGTGCTCCTTTAGGAAACCCCCAGCCTTCACTGCTCTCTCCACCAAGTCCTTGTCTCCCAGCACAGCTCCGACGCGAGCGTAGGCCGACAGCATCAGGCCTAACAGGGAGAAAGTAACGGTGATGTCGTTGAGGGTGAGTGTATTGAGGTCACCAAGTAATAAAATGACATACTCACTGCTTAGGTATCAACATGTAGCCCCTGCCACACTTCCAATTTAGTTATCCCCCCCTCTCTCCTTTGAAGTCCCCCTGTTCCTCCTCTTGTCCCTATCTGCATCCATCCTTCCTCCCGCTTTCCCTCCACCCGTCTTTCATGTAGTAAATCAAAGCCTAGTGAGTGCACAGCCTCGCCTTCAAAGTTTTGCAGCAGAGGACAGGTGATTAATGGCAAGGTTTCTTCATTAGAGAGGAGACAGAGAGTCTTGCGTCTAATTGGAAAGTTCTCAGGATCGCCGAGCTTCATTACCTCACTAACACACACTGTCTGAGACGTCAGCCCCGGGAGCCAAATTCGTGGGTGCACTTGTGTAAGTGTGCTCTCTTGTAATTAATCGAATCTGAGACAATGTGCAGGACAAACAGTGCTAAGGAGACATCACATTAATCCCAAATGACAAGTGTCTGTAATAATCTACGCACACTTTGACACTGCAGAAAAACGGCGTGCTCGTGAATATGAGCGGCATTTACTGTAAATATATGACAGTCTGATGAAATTGCTTGTGCTAACTTGACATAATCAGAATCAAACTGTCTTGTTGACAAAAGAAGAAGTGCTCATAATCTATCAACTAATATAATGTAAGGTGTCTGTTTCCGTTGTGGAATTAATGGTCACATTGTGGAACATCCCACAGAAAAACTTCTCCTTTCTGGCACGCTGTGTTACACTTTTGATCATGTCTGCAACCTGAGTCCCTGATCAGACAGATCACTGCCTCTGATTACGAGGCTGAGCTGTCTATCGATACTTAGCTAATCCAGCCAAAGGATCAATGAGCTCATGCCACAGCCGTGCACAATTTACAAGACCCGCGACTCCTCCTGTGTTAATGGTCAGAATTTAATCAGACTTACACACAGTGATCAACTTATTGGTCTTAACCCAAACTGTGCCCAAAGGTCAACATCACTTTTGTCATTTTGAGGCAATAAGCTCAGAACTGTGACCGATCGTGAAACGCTTGAACTACTACGTCACTGACATTGTTTGGGTTTTTTTTGTGCATGTCCTTCATAGTGACATAGTTTGATGTTTAAAGTCACAGCTTTTCCAGTGGTGCACTCTAGCACTGTTACTTATCTAAAAGTCGCTGTCCAACTTTCTCCTGCAGCATGGAGGGAGACACAGTGCAGGTCCAACAATAAATAGTAACTCTAAGTTTGAAGCTTTATATTAAATTAATGGCTAAACTTTGTATGTAACAACAGATGACATTTGTTGATTTGTGTTAAGAAAGAAAGTGCAGGTTGGCAGTTACTCTGTGGGACAGATGAAATTCAGATGAAAGGCCCCTAACTCACCAGTCACACAACACTAACTGACCAATCAAGGTAGGAGTACACAAACAACTGTGTTTACTGCTGTTTGGGAGGTAAAATTACTGGTTTTGTCAATGGAGTCTGACTGAGTGCACCGCCTTCTCTTCAGGTAAAAGCCTGGAAATGTCCTAAACATAAAGTACACTTAAACGGATATTGATCCCTTTTTCTGGCTGAAATCCATGTTGGCGCTGACTGTGTCCTCAGCAGTACATGGCTATAGTTTCTGTGCTGTGTGCTGTCTGTTTGAGTTTCTGTCACTGGCATCTACTGAAGAAAACAAACTGACCGTGGATCACAACCTCAGCCAGCCTTACTTCAGATAAAATTATCTATCCCCAGCTAAACAGGCAAAATTACTTCTGATATCTCAAATTTGGTTTTGTACAAAATGCAGACATATGTATTGGGTATCACCACTCTAGGAGTGTTTGGTCCATTTAAGGTACAAAAAAAAAAAAAAGATTAAAGGACTAAAGAGGGGGGCTGAGAAGGGAGTAAATTTTCTATCGTCCAAAAAATGACCATATTTTGGCAAATTTATGAGAACAGGAAGTTACTAAATGAATTTCTAATTATTTCTCATCTTATCTTACAGAGCTCATAGTGCTCCAATAATGCTCTGCATTTAATCATTAGTTATTATTAATCTGTGGCTCACTTTCAGTCTGTCTTTTGTCCCATCTTCCTCCCCTACTCCCAGCCAGTCACAGCAGATGGCCGCCCTTCACTGACCCTGGTTTTGCCGGAGGTTTCTTCTGGTTAAAATTGAGTTTTTCCTTCCCACTGTCACCAAAGTGCTTGTTCGCAGAGGGTCGTCTGATTCTTGCTTTATTCTCTATTATTCGTAGCTTCTTTACTTTACAATATAAAGATCCTTCAGGGGACTGTTTTGAGTTGACAGCTATATACTGCTCCTTAGTGGAGAGCATGCTCTCCTGCTGCCTGGCTGTTTAGTACCCAGGGGCCACAAAAGAGATCAGGAAGGCTGTACAGAGGGTAATTAACACCACCTCAAAAAAATCACTGGCTGCCCTCTGCCACCCTTTGAGCCCATCACCAGCTCCTCCCATCTCAGGAAAACCAGATCTATCACAGGTGATCCTTTGCACCCCGTCCACCAATTTCCTGCCCCGCTGCCCTCCCGCACCTCCAGACTTACAAACAGCTTCTTCCCCTGGGCCATTCTCACATGCAGTCTTTTGTTTGCTCTACATCCAAGCACTTTGCAACTATTTTGTCCTCTATTGTGTGCCTTTCTCTTGTTTTGTATAAATCCCTCTTGATTGTATATATTTCTCCTGTTTGCTATTTATTCCTGCTGTGTACAGTTTAGATTTTGCTCCAGCACAGTTGGTGTGGAGCACCCACAATTTCGTTGTATGTGTACATTAACAATAAAAGGCTATTCTATTCTATATAAATATAATTGAATTGATAAAAAAAAAAAAACAGGAACAGGTTTTCACAAATAAAGACTTGTAGTGTGCCCAAAAAGGATAAAGTGATTTCAGTGACACTTCACTGTATGAGTGCAAAGCTAACACAGCTGAGTGTTGCACTCTGTAGATGGTCGCAGCACATTCCTTTCACAGTCAGCTACATATGACTTATTAATGTGTATTATTGCTCCAGGTCTGCCTCGTTTTAATAAAAAAGAACTTGTGGTCTGTTGACGTCCTGAATAAAATGATTGAAAAAGGTGCTGTTGGAGTTCTAAAAACGCTCCTCATGAGTTATTGATTCCAGAAAATGGAAAATGTGAATTTCTTCCCTACCTAAACCTGAAAAGTAAAGCGATATAGTTCCTTGACTAAAGAGAACGTGTGTTTTTAGTGGTCTTTTGTTCCCTATAAATTTGCATAAATTTCCACATACATTTTCCTCTTAGTTTTCCCTTCAACTGGCCCCTGAATTTATTTTTAACACTCAGTGGCCTTAATATATATAAAGCTGCACCATTCACCCTCAAATGTTTTTGTTCATATCATCAAGCCCTATTACTGCTGCCACTTATTACGATTACTCATCTATTAAACAGAAAAATCAATGATGCTGAGCCTAAGAGCCATTTGAATGACTGGAAGTGACCATTTCAATGCTGTAATGTAAACTTTACCATTCCAGGAGGCCAACATCTTGGTGTCCAGATGAGGGCGTGGCCGACTCTTTCTCACTACGGCCATTTTGGCTCTGGCGGAGGCCAGGAGCTCATTGACTTTCTCGACAGTGATGCCAAAGCGAGCAGCTGTTAACTCGACTGAATAACGCACGATCAGCACATTCTGGCCCTGCAGCTCCCCGTGGGGGTCCTGGCAACACACAGTACAGGGAATAAGAGGGTGTTCACACATACTGATCCACACTGACTGCAGCATTTTTCATGTTAATGGTTACTGACACTTTCAAGTCACCTTTAAGTCCTCTGTGACTGAAATATAATAAACCATTATCATTCTGTGCATATTCACTTTCATTCATTGAGCAAGACCAACACAACTAGAACAAAAGTACCTGTTCTGGAGCAACATTGCCTTGCTCTTTGACCCCATAGTGATGCATAAAGATGTCAGCCAGCGTAGCATTACCAGCGGTGCCCTCCACCACGTCTGGTAAGAGCTCCCGAACTTCAGAGGCTGTCCACACGCAGAAAGCCCCCTCTCGCTTTTCTGGTCCCCCCGAAGCCGGGACAGAGTCTGCATCCTCTGCACTGTAGAAGCCCCCAGACTGTTTCAGAGAACGCACAAACACACAGAGAGGGCAGGAGGAGGGAGAGGTGCTTTTTAAGGACGAGAGACAAAATGCACTGTTGTAGATCAGTTGAGAAACATGCAACAGTATTCACGACATTCTTTCTGTTGCTGTGACATGATGATGAAAAACAACTATCTGAGAACATGAAAAAATTATTTTAGACACTGAAATTTCACAAACGCATTAATTCGGAAAGTAAAAACACATGAAAACCTAAAACCGTGGCAGTTGGTTGGAGGAAAAGCAGGACGGTTTAGCATCCTTTTCCTAAAATGAAGACTTAAACACTGCACTGCTATTGCACTTTTTTAAGATCATAACTGACCTATTAATGTGGTTGGGAAACAGAGATTTGCCAACCACAAAGTTTAACAGGGATTTAATAGATCTACTGTAAAAAACACATAATGACTCTCAATTAATTTCAACCCCTATGATGCAAGATAAATCAAGCTTCAGGTAGTTAAAAAGGAAATACAGAGACTGAAGATCACTGGGACCCACACAGCTCACAGGAAACCAGCTGAAGTAAAAAAGTACTCCAGTAATTTAGCCTGAGGACAATCACGGAGTCTCCCTCACTGTGGGAAGATCCCACCCACTGTATTACAAAAAAGCAGCATGAAGTCTGTAGAAAATGATCTTTGCAGCACCAATTCATTAGCCTGTAATTGCATAATAAATCTTAGGGAATATTATTATTGCAACAAGTCTGGTTTTAATTGTGTGCCCAATTCACTTCTGTCGCCTCATTTAACAAAAGGGGGGAAAAAAAGGCTTGACCCTGAGACGAGAAGCAAGAGTTTAAGAGGCTATTCATCAATGGGGTCTCACCCCATGACCTTGAGGATGCATGAACAAAAAGAATCCATAGAAAGGAACTTAATACAGTGTTGGCTTTAATATGCCTGTGCATTGATTCTCCAAGTCTGTGAAAGATGTCTTGACACATGCTCAATCATGCAGGTAAGAAAATCCCCAAAAAGTTTTTTGGGACTGTAGAAAGATAAACACGGTTAGTATCATAAATATCTCCCTTAGCTCCACAGTGTAGGGGTTTACACATTTGCTCAGCTGGAAACATAAATCCTCTTCGGGGTTATATCAGGAAGGACATCCGGTGTAAAAGCTCTGCCAAACTAAACCTTTAAAGTTACCTGCTGTGATGACCCTTCGTGCCAAAGAAGCAGCCATTTGCTGATTTACAAAACCATCACAGTGATGGTGAAGAGTTCCCATTACCACAAAAACAACACAGCAGTTGTGCACACAGAAATGGCAGACTCACCTTGTCGCTCAGGTCTCTGGAGACGTAAAGCAATACATCCTTAGCCACTTCTGCAAAAAACTGCTCACCTGAAACCTGGAAAAACAGAAATGCACACAAGTCACCTCCCAAAGCAACATGATTTAACCTTAACATGACCTCACAGGTACTGTCACGTGGAGTGGTCTGTGCAGTATGCAATGAGAGTTCTATTTGTTTGAGTTTGTATGTTTGTGTCCTAATTAGGGTTTGTTTTTCAGTCTCTGACTTAAAAGCAGGCCAGCCCAGCAAGCACTCACGGGAAAACTGAAAACTATGGCATTCAGATTCTTAAGTTGTTTGCTGCATCATAACTCAGTGCTGCCCACTGCAGTGAAAAACACTGCCAAGTGTTTGAAGTGATGTACTAAAAACAGTAGAGTACAGTCATTTTGACTGAGGGCTAAATAAATAAAATGAAAGTTACAAAGTACAGTCTGACCACTCCTGGATTTTTAGGACCTACAGTGGGGCAAAAAAGTATTTAGTCAGCCACCGATTGTGAAAGTTCCCCCACTTAAAATGATGACAGAGGTCAGTAATTTGCACCAGAGGTACACTTCAACTGTGAGAGACAGAATGTGAAAAAAAAATCCATGAATCCACATGGTAGGATTTGTAAAGAATTTATTCGTAAATTAGGGTGGAAAATAAGTATTTGGTCACCTCAAACAAGGAAAATCTCTGGCTCTCACAGACCTGTAACGTCTTCTGTAAGAAGCTTTTCTGTCCCCCACTCGTTACCTGTATGAATGGCACCTGTTTGAACTCATCATCTGTATAAAAGACACCTGTCCACAGCCTCAAACAGTCAGACTCCAAACTCCGCCATGGCCAAGACCAAAGAGCTTTCGAAGGACACCAGGAAAAGTATTGTAGACCTGCACCAGACTGGGAAGAGTGAATCTACAATAGGCAAGCAGCTTGGTGTGAAAAAATCAACTGTGGGAGCAATCATCAGAAAATGGAAGACATACAAGACCACTGATAATCTCCCTCGATCTGGGGCTCCACGCAAGATCTCATCCCGTGGGGTCAAAATGATCATGAGAACGGTGAGCAAAGATCCCAGAACCACACGGGGGGACCTGGTGAATGACCTGCAGAGAGCTGGGACCAAAGTAACAAAGGTCACCATCAGTAACACACTACAACGGCAGGGAATCAAATCCCGCAGTGCCAGACGTGTTCCGCTGCTGAAGCCAGTGCATGTCCAGGCCCGTCTGAAGTTTGCCAGAGAGCACATGGATGATACAGCAGAGGATTGGGAGAATGTCATGTGGTCAGATGAAACCAAAGTAGAACTTTTTGGTATAAACTCAACTCGTCGTGTTTGGAGGAAGAAGAATACTGAGTTGCATCCCAAGAACACCATACCTACTGTGAAGCATGGGGGTGGAAACATCATGCTATGGGGCTGTTTTTCTGCCAAGGGGACAGGACGACTGATCCGTGTTAAGGACAGAATGAATGGGGCCATGTATCGTGAGATTTTGAGCCAAAACCTCCTTCCATCAGTGAGAACTTTGAAGATGAAACGAGGCTGGGTCTTCCAACATGACAATGATCCAAAACACACCGCCCGGGCAACAAAGGAGTGGCTCCGTAAGAAGCATTTGAAAGTCCTGGAGTGGCCTAGCCAGTCTCCAGACCTCAACCCCATAGAAAATCTGTGGCGGGAGTTGAAAGTCCGTGTTGCTCGGCGACAGCCCCAAAACATCACTGCTCTCGAGAAGATCTGCATGGAGGAATGGGCCAAAATACCAGCTACTGTGTGTGCAAACCTGGTAAAGACCTATAGTAAACGTTTGACCTCTGTTATTGCCAACAAAGGTTATGTTACAAAGTATTGAGTTGTATTTTTGTTATTGACCAAATACTTATTTTCCACCCTGATTTACGAATAAATTCTTTACAAATCCTACCATGTGGATTCATGGATTTTTTTTTCACATTCTGTCTCTCACAGTTGAAGTGTACCTCTGGTGCAAATTACTGACCTCTGTCATCATTTTAGGTGGGGGAACTTGCACAATCAGTGGCTGACTAAATACTTTTTTGCCCCACTGTATGTTGATACAGACTTTGAGGAAGCAAAAAAAATTCCAGCATTAAATCTACAATACTTTTTTTACTGTACTATATTAGCAATGTGTGAAACCACTTGAGATGACTAGATGTTTAATCACTGCTGCCCTTGATAGTGATCATCAAAATTACTGCGTAGTTTAAGAAATTCATCCATTTCTTATTCAATTCTGGGTCACAGGGCGCCTGACCCTATCCCAGATGTCATAAAGTGAGAGATGGCGCATTTGCCGCATTAATTAATTAATTAATTTTTTTTTTGCTATGTCTGGTTTTATTACTATGTGCATATTAGTATTGTACAGCACTTTGGTCTGCCAGGTGTGTTTTTAAAGTGCTATATAAATAAATAAATGATGATGAAAGAAATCTGTTATCACAACTCTTTGGGCTCAAACTGTAAGAAATAAATGTGTAAAATTACAGAATATGTTCTGGTAGGTCATTGCCCAAACAATAAGCCTCACAATAACAGCACATGTGTTGTCACTGTGAGTGTTTGATTTGACTCTGAAACAAAGTAAATGTTTGCCATCTCTTATGCTGGAGATTTTAGGTTGGGGGGTAGCATTAATTATGCAGACAAGAGAGAAAGATCAGAGCTAATTACACTGTCAGATACACAAACAGCCACACAGAGACAATTGCACACACCTGGGAAGCTGTTATGTAGGCAACAGCCAGCTGAGCCTGGTCGTACAACATCTTCTCAAAGTGAGGAACATGCCAGGAGGAGTCTGTGGAGTAACGATGAAAACCCTGAGATAAAGAGACATAAAGAGGGAGGCTGCTTAATTTTACTCACTAAAATTAGTTGAAAGTATCAGTACTACAACATAAGTATATCTGACTTGAACTAAAAACACGATTATATTAAAGAGACCAAGAGTACATCTGTGTGTTTTTGTGTCTGACATGAACAAACCAGGCTTGCACATTAGAGAAGCACCACTTCTGACAACATTCTGACAACTTTTTATTTAATTTTCTTGTTACTTGATGAATAAAATGTCCTAACCGTACAAAATGCCCTTTTTAAGAGCTTTCCTCTACAGTTTTGATTCAGTCTGTCATGCATCTCTATGACTCGCCACTGCATTCTGTGTGATTTGATGGGTTGGGCATCACTGACCACCTGCACAAAATAGCACTAACATATTTTGGTTTTCTGGGTAAACTTCCAGGTTGTCTTGGTATCCTTGTCTGTTCGAGCACAAATGTCCTTTGCTTTTTTGATGAGTTCTGACAGATGTGGGAAAAACAGCGTTTTATTAAAACACACCTAAAACTTAAACATGCCAGTTTCTACTAGTGAATTTAAAATTATCATAAAATGGAATGGATTGAAAGAGACCTGTGGATGTTTTTCATGAGAGGCTTCTAATATTTTATGTTATGGATACTTGTATATAGTACGTTATTCTGCAGACCTCACAGAACAGAGCAGGCCTCAAGGACATTGGATGTGGCATTAATTATGCTAGAAAAAGGTTGAGCCAGGGTAGAGTTGGGTTGCAAAGCAGCATGCAGAGTCAGCAGAAACGGTGGGGACAAGCTATATGACAGCTGCCAGTGTCACAAACTGTATCAGCTGAGCATCAGCTGAACTAAAAGCATCTGCCCTGTCAGCCAGAATTTAGGGTTAATTTATAAATTTTTCTGACAGTTAATTTACTCCCCATTTTTCATGAATCTTTACCACTCAACCTGGTGGTTTGAATTTTGTTTTTCTGTGTTTAATATTTATTCATATATCAATTTTTTTACAATACTTTGCCATTCATAATCCTGTTACAAAAAAAAACAACAACAAGAAAGAAAAACCCTGAATTACAACACTAGTTTGGTTTGTTTATACCTGTGCAATGTGGTCATGGATGCCTCCCAGTGCCATCATGCGAAGCGTGTGCAAGGCCATCTGGAGAGCCTCGACCCCTTCCGATGTGGAGCGATTCACAGTCCAATAGGACATGAGGAACATCAGATTCACTACAGATGCATAGGCAAGAGAGAGAAACAGGAAAAGACTTGCTGTCAGGTAGTCAAATAAAGAATTTTCTACAGGCCTTAAAGCTACAGAGCTGACCACTTGGGCTCATGTCGACCTGGTGAGGGGAACTTTGGAGCGTCTCTAAAGCCTCCATACTCTTCCTCATAGGAATGGGCGAGCTGCTGGAAGCAGCGATTAGCCACGTCTGGAGCCAGTGGAGGACTTTGGCCTGCGTTTGCAGTGATGGTTGTGCCTTTTTTCAGGGCCTCAATGATCCTCTCCCCACTGGACTCCAAAGCAGGACGATTATTCTGCCACTTTAGAACACAAGTCATACTTTATGTCATTCATACACTTCCACAGAGACAGCACAGGAGGGTAAAGAGAACAAACAAAAATATAATTTAAATCTCTTTAACGACTTTTTTTCATCCCCACTAACAATGCATGAAATCTGATATAATAATGTTCCCTAATTCTTGAAGTTTTACTACCTGATCTATGATTCTGGTGAGGACCGTCTTGAACCCAGGTCTACCTCCACGGTCTCTGGGAGGGAAGTAGGTGCCTCCAATGAAAGGTCGAAGTTCAGGAGTCAACCACACACTCATAGGCCAACCACCACCTCCACTTGTTGCCTGGAAATAATTCCCAGGCAAAAATTATAAAGGGGCACTAGCAGAGTGAAGCTGAAAGAGATTTTCATGTGAAAATGTAAATGTATACAAACCTGCACAAAGGTCATGTAGACCTTATCCACATCAGGCCTCTCTTCTCTGTCTAGCTTGATGCAGACGAAGTTTTCACTAAGGATTTTGCCAATTTCCTCATCCTCGAAGGACTCCCTCTCCATAACATGGCACCAATGGCATGTGGAATAGCCCACTGGAGGTCAAGCAAAAGAAAATCCTTAATGTAGTGAACCAGATATCTGTAATCTATGTCTCGGAGATTTTGTTTTAATCTTACCCGATAAAAAGATGGGTTTGTCTTCATTCTTTGCTTTGTCAAAAGCATCCTTCCCCCATGGATACCTGACCAAAAAAGGAAAAAAGAAAAACAAAATGTGGCATTTGGCCGTGCTTTCAGAAAGTATGTCCATCTGAAGTTTAAAAAGGACTCACCAGTCGACAGGGTTGTGCGCATGTTGTAGCAGGTATGGTGACCTCTCCTTAGCTAACCTGTTGGAGTGTTTGTGAGAAGTGGATGATGGCCCTTCACTCCCTGAGGCCATACTCATGAAGACAGATGGACTGGACACACAAGATGCTTATGAATGTGGATCCTGATTCTTATTAGCAAAACAGAGCAATCTTGATGTTGCTGCCTCGGTGTGGGCCCAAATACAGTGACTAAATACCTTAATGTTAACAATGTTAAGCCAGCCCCAGGATGTCATTGTGTTACCCTTGAGTAATACGATAAAAAATACAGCTACAACATTCAGTTCAAATTTCTCTATATATACCCGTTTCTTACAGAAACACTGTCAATACCCTGTGTAGTATATCGACAAAAGAATATATAAAATAATATACTAATATTAACAGGTTAATTTTTTCTAATTACAATTCTTGAGCGTTTCTGGGGCTGTACAAGCTTGTTCAGCAGCTCATTAAAGCTGCAGTAGCTGTCAAGCAGCTGTTAGCCCAGACTGGCAGCCGTGGCGAATTCCATTTGAATATTCTCCAATGTATTATGACTTAGCTTAAAAATAAAAGTTCATACCCCGGAAAACGTTAACAAACAGCTTTCATTTTATGAGTCATTTTTGTTGAATTCGGGTGGAAAAGCTGCACATATGTGCGTGATTTTTCACGTGTAAGCTAAAATTTTCATCGTTAGCGGAGGGTGGTCGATGAGTTACCAAGAAACCAGCAAGAAAAGCTAACCAGTTAATAGAAACCAAAACATATTGTCAGCCTTTGTACTTACACCGAATTGAAATGCGTGGCATTATGATTTTAATCAAATGTTTGCTCCTACGGGGGAATGTCTCTGGCTACGAGTTAGCCTTAGGGACATATTAATATGAATGATTTTATATGGGAGTATGGTGTGGTTCGACACTCGTCAGTGCTATTGTGCCACAAGCAACAACCGTATCATAATACAACAGGTCGTGACTTTTATGCTAAGCCCGCTATGCTTGCTGTAAAATGTCAAAGCAGTGTTTACGTACAGCTAGCATTAGCTACACATTAGCTGAGGCAGCGTTACCTGAGGTAGCAGGCCGCCCGGGGATGGAGGAACGGTGACCTGTCGCTTGGTGGGTGGGGAATTTGTCTGAAACACCTAAAGTCACCCTGTGATTTCTGCTGTGGACTATACGCTCCCGAATAAGCTGCAGTTAACACGCATGTAGGTCCCGCGCGGCTATGTTTGGACGCCGACCGACGCCATGCTAGTCTTAACATCCTAATCCACCAAGTGTGTCACTTTAGCAAGCTAACGTTAGCTAGTTTGTGAAGAGACAGCAGTCAAAACTTCCAGGCATGAGTTAAACACTTTTTTTTTTGCAATACCCTCACTTGACAGATGGAGGCGCGACAACAAAGCAGGAGTGGGGATCACAGGAGATAATGTATTTGATGGTGATACAAAATAAAAATGACAAACTGTGCAGTAACGTCTTCTCCCAAGTTTGTTATTTTCGTAAACGAATTTAAATTAAATATAAAATCTTTACATTACCTAAAGGAAATAAAACACAAATTCTAATATATTATAAACCATCTTCGCATTGCATTGGATATGTGAGATAAAATATATCTGCACTTTTTTCCTACCTCCTTGTGTATGTGGCTTATAATTTAATATTACACCCTGTTCATATGCTTATTTTTCTACACATTTTTTATTTTATTAATTGTTATTAGTCTTGAATTTATACAACACAAAATGTATTTGTTTTTGTATTTGACACATTAAATAAAAATTTAAAAACAATTTATTGTTTATTTAAAAAAGCAATACAATACTTATGTACAAGCAAAATATTTACCGGTAAGCCTCTAGTAACTGTACAATATTTATATCTTTTCAATGAACCGATGAGTTATCTATGGTTTAAAGAATAAAACACACACACACCGTCATATTCAAACTAAAGAGATACAATACTTTTTCAGTTATGGTTTCATTAGTGCAGAATTGAGCTCAACAACTGTTGACACAAAGTCCTTGCGAGTTGCCAAGTCTGAGGCAACGATGTTCACACCTGATTGCTGCTTCAGCCATTTCAGGAGCTTAGGCAGACCCCTCCTAATAACGTTGGGGAAACTGTCGCAGAGACGAAGGATGTAGATGAGTATCCTATGATCTGCTGGAAGAGTCATGTTCAAACCACATACAAAGAAATCTGTGGGGAACAAGTTAAAGCTTAGTAATTATCTCAAATTATATCGCGTATAACCTGGCTGTTTAAAACTTTTTTCTCACTGAATAGATGTTATTTTGGATATTTACATCCCAAGTAATATTGTTTTTTGATCACCAAAGATGAATGTCTTGCTGTCTATAACTTATAACATGGCGTAGTTGAGAAAACTCACAATTGGAAGTCTTTTCCTTTCCCAAGGCTTCAGATATTTTTGATTTAACTTGTGCACGGTCCATGCTATTGGCGTAGTAATAAGTTATTTTTTTCCACATTTCAGGATGGTAGTTTGCTGGATAGTCATATGAAACTATGACATTTTTGCCTTGGTCCCAGCAGTTCTGCAGTGTGGGGATGCCCTGTTGTAAGATAATGAATATCTTATTTTGAAACTATAAGCAAAGGTTACAGTAAGTACTTCAATAATGAGACTTATTTGACCTACTGATCTAAGAATAAATGAATACATTTTTTAAAAAAGAAGAAAAACTGTACACTACCGGGGGGACGAGTTTGCTTCCAAACATGGTCTTAATGAAGCCGATAAGATGGTTGTGAAGTTTATCTTTAATGTTTTTCTCAAAACCATTGAAGTTTGAAAAAGCCAGGATGATGACTTCTTTTGGATGGGCCACTGTCCAGGCATGTATTTCCCTGAGAACAGTCTGAACTCAATGGGAAAATTAGCTGGCATTAGATAAAGAAATCTTCTTTATAGGGTTCCTTCATGACACAGTAAGTGAGCACATGTGTTATAAATCACATTAACTAAGGCTAATTACCAAAATAGAACAGACACTTCATAAAGGAAATCAGTAACACCTGTGTTTACCTTTGGTCATATTTTAAAACTTGAACTAGTTTTAAAACAGGTCTTGCCTAAAGCTTAGTAAAGGTCTTCTTGAGTTAAAAAAAAAAATCTGCTAAAAGTTCAGTTATTTTTATATCAAAAAAATTAGATATTTTTTTTCTGTCCACAGCAGGGAAACTCCTGATACATATACATACAGACAGGAGTCTTGTACTTTTACATGATATGCTTATTATTACCTCAACATCAGTGCTTGTGTACAGCCCATGGTAAAAGTAAAGCCTAGTGGGATGGTGGTCATTACGTTTGCGAGCGATCCTCAAGTCAAAGTAGCGAACTCCTGCTTCCAGTTGCATTGTGATGTTGTATTCCTGTGATAAAAACCAACATCAGTCAAACATTCCATTTTCTGTTTGTTACGTTCACCTATAAATATGATAGCGGCAGGTCAGAAACTCCCCTTACCTGGGTCATTCCCCATGTTCGTACTATTCTGCGTAAGCAATAAATCCAGCTGAATCGTTTTAGATTGTCAGGCTCTATAATAGCAGAGCTGGCATCCAAATCATAACTCACAGAGTCATGGCTTCCTACGAATGAAACACACAAATGCCTTACCAATGTTGTTTTAAAATGCTGTACAGATTTGGGAGTTGTTGTTTTTTTATGGTGTATTTATGGGATTTTTTTTCTCATGTAGCTCTATAGTCCTCTTTTAAATGTAATGTGTATGGGCTCAAATTATGGTCATAAATATTTTGTACTTGTAAATCAGGATTTGTATGTGTAAAAAGAATTTGTGTGTGCATAAAAACATTTGTGTGTGGACTTAGCCAAAAAATACAAGTGAAACTCTGCACTCAAGTTTCAAGTTACTAGTACAAATTTTGACCCTATTTTTCTTCCTTTCATCTGATTGGTCATTGTCATGTCAATCACAAATTTAACAATCCAATCAGAGAACAGATGGGTTTGGCTGTGGAGGGGCGCTTTTTTGAACTGCAGGTCCTTGAAGGGTAATACAGTTTGAAGCTGGAAGATCTCTATATAAATATCCGATAGAAACTAGGTCCCCTAAATTTCAGTAGCTGTTGAAAGGATAAAGTTGAGGTATATCAGTGGTTAGAAATATCATTATTACTTTAAAGGTTAAAGGTTAATTAAAGGTCCTTTCACACTGGATGCAGCATGTGCTGCTAATGCTAGCTGCTAACTAAAAGCCAAGGATCCAAAATTTGTTGCGCTGGCTGCTGAGCTCTGTGGGGTTTTGCGGCAGCTCTACCTGTACTAGATGCACCTGCTCCTTGTCGTTTCTATCTCTGACTTTATGTCCTCTACAAGAGTTTCTGTTTTTTTTTATCTTCAAATGTTCAATAGAAACATGTAACGCTAATTCATAACGAAGAAAGCTTTGTAACTATCCCCACTAGTGAAGACTGTCATTTCCACAACACTGCCATTTGGGTACAGTCTCCGCACTAGCCAAGTACAACTACTGTATTTCTTGCAAAGAATTAACAAATTAATTAACAAATGCAGCAGAAACCACAACCTTTTTCATTCATTTTGTTTGTTTGAATTCTGACTGAATAAATGCTACCACTAAATGCTATTGGAGGTGCCCCAAAAAATCTGCAGTGTAGATTGCAGAAAAGTATTTCTGTTAACAAAATGGTCCGATTTGACACACTGTACATGCTGTGTTTGATGTTGGACACAGTTGCACTGTATACATTTACCTGGTATGGCTAGTTTGAAGAGAGGAATTGTCCAAAGTTCAGATGGTAGTTGTGACATCCAGTCAGTGTAGTTCGCGATCTTTATATTCCCTTTCTTTGCAGACATCTACACAAAACATTTTTAAACTTACAGGAGAGTCTCTTAGAAATTCAGTGGTTCTAGGCAACAGTGAACACATTAAGCACAAACATAAAGGTCACAAGTTTTAAGAATTAACACTTACCCTGCCAAAGTCATGCACCAGCTCTAGTTTACTTCGTTATTCCTTCAGATTTGACAGTGTACACAAACTGACACAGTCAGACAATCAGAGGCTTAGCTTTGTCACTGCTCCTCAGAAGGACTTCATTGTTATGTTGTAAGAGTTAAAACGTCAGCTGTCTTACCGGTTTTGCAAGGATGCAATCAAAACAAGGAATGTTTGATCAACAAGATAGAACGCCCCAATGAAGCTTCCTCATACCCTCAGTATTCATTAGGAAAAAAACAAAGGCTTTCAATACACTTTTAATTCTGATATTAGTGCGGACTTCAGTAGTGGATTTCAGTCTGCACTCAAAAAAGTAAACTAAGGCACTTGTTTGATGAGTTCGTTGATAAGTTTAACCGATGTCTCTAGCAATAAGATCTCTGGAAATTATTGAGAAAAAAACCAAGGGCTGAAACACTTTTTTGTACTAAAAAGGTTTGCAGGGTACATATTTATCAAGTGTACCATTACAAACTGTTCAGAAAAGAGATCATTACCTGCAGGACAGACATCAGTAACAATATTTAAATTTTTTTTGATAGACATGCTGAAGTACGGAGCCCCCCAGGGGACATGGGAGAAAAAAAAATTGGGGAGGAAAAAAAAAAAAATTAGGGAGGAAAAAAAATTAAGACGGACTTTTGCGAGATCTCGCAAAAGTATTGCGAGCGCTCGCAAAAGTATTGCGAGATCTCGCAAAAGTATCTCCCAACAATGGCGGCAGCTACTTAGTTGTAATATTACTCTTTCTGGGTCACAAAATACACTTTTAAGATATTTTGAGGCGTGAATGTAGTTGTGTAAACGTCAGATACCTGCTCGGTTTACAAGACATCACATATTTGCAAAAGAGCTCCGAGGTTTTTGGAGATCTGACACCCACTAGCTCGAAGCTAACGGGAGGTCGAGACCTACTACAGCCGGGAGGAACACCGCTTTCCCGGCACATCGTGCCTCGACCTCCCGGTCGGCTTCGAGCTGGCGGCCACTAGCTCGAAGCTAACGGGAAGTCGAGACCTACTACAGCCGGGAGGAACACCGCTTTCCCGGCACATCGTGCCTCGACCTCCCGGTCGGCTTCGAGCTGGCGGCCTCCGAAGAATGCGGCTAAAACTTTTGCGAGATCTCGCAATACTTTTGCGAGCGCTCGCAATACTTATTGCGAGATCTCGCAATACTTTTGCGAGCGCTCGCAATACTTTTGCGAGATCTCGCAATACTTTTGCGAGCGCTCGCAATACTTTTGCGAGATCTCGCAAAAGTCCGTCTTATTTTATTTTTTTTTTTCCTCCCTAATTTTTTTTTTTCCTCCCTAATTTTTTTTTCTCCCATGTCCCCTGGGGGGCTCCGTACTGAAGTGACGAAGGAAGCCTGAAAAGAATCTTTAATACAAATCAGTACTCTGTCTCCTTTGGTTTTCCTGTCAGTTTGACAAATGCCGCCCAATGTTATGTCCAAATCGGAGAGATTTTTGTTTAGCTAGACTACAGCAAGGACAAAAATATTGAAACAGCATTCACACATTATTAAATGTAATAATCCTTTTCTGTTTTTTGAAATCATGTAGGCAAATTATTTCAGTAGAGCTGCTTGGCACTTGTTGTCTCAGCAGGCTGTTTATTGATCTTTATGAGAATATCTGAATTATTTTAGCTAGACAGGCAGGCAAATGGCCTGTTATTGCCATTAATTTGATCTATATATGTCTAAATATTTGCTGAACACTGCTAAGAAAAACTATATTAGAGAGAAAACCTAGTCTTACCTAAACTATTTCTTGGAGAAGTGGCACTGTTTTTTCTTTAGCTTCAGAGAGCTACTCCTTGAAGCTTCTGCCTCCCTCTCATTCACACACATGTTCTGTCTTGCTTCTATTGACTTTCATTCCTCTTTTCACCAGAGCATGCCTCCATCTCTCCAGGCTTAGCATTATGATTTTCATAATGCCGTCTGCAAACAGTATAGTTTACAGAGACTTCTGCCTGATTTCATCAGTCAACCTGTTGCTACTGTAAAGGCTCAGAGCAGATCCCTGATGTTGTCCCACACCGCCTTAAATCCATCTCTCTCTGACCGAGATCACTGTCTTGTTAACACTGAAAGTCTTATGCCACCCTCACATATAGTGCTTCTCTGCCACTCCTGACTTTCTCGTGCAATACCACAGTTTTGCCGTTGACACCCTATCATATGCTTTCCCTGAATAACAAAAGACTTAGTGCAACTCCTCCTGACCTTCTCTATACTTCTCCATCAACACTCTCAAAGCTAACATCACATCTGTAGTGCTCATTCTAGGCATGAAGCCGTACCGTTGCTCACTGATGGCCACCTCTGTTCTTAAAAAGAGAAACTAGCTGTCAACAGGGTTAAACCACTGAGGAGGAGGCCATTCTTAAAATGTATTCAAACATTAATTTCCACTCTTGTAAATTACAAAGTGAACTCATACGTAATAAATCACATCCTTACTCTTGTCTGTGCACAGATTGTTCTCTGCGACATTCTTAAGCCATCTGGTTTGACGAGTAGTCTAGCCTACTGTTGACATGACTCACCTTAACTTGTGCTACCGGTAGATCATGTTTTTAGCATCCACAGCTATCAGATTGGTACATATGGGCAAAGTAGTTACTGTTTTGTGTAATGTATTGTGTTGTAGGCTACAGATTTATTGTAAAGGAAACAGGTTGGAGGAGAGATACACCGGAGCCCTATAAACACTGTTTATGGAGTAATCAAGTTAAGATAAAGTTATTCTGTTAAATGTAAGTTTTGCATAGAGGGGTTACTATTTGGCCAGCATTTTAGATGAGGTGTTAGCAGCCTATAAAAGACAGATTTGAAATGCTTTGTTCTATATGAACAATGACCACAAAACAGAAACAAAATATTTATTTAACTTTTTTTTATTAGACTTTTGATGTTGCAAAGCCGACTATAACACAAAAATTTATAGGTTTTTCAAGGACTTGACTTCAGGTTGATTATCTAGCCTTGGCCAGACCCAACATATTCTGGCCTCTTTTGTAGATTGAATAATACTGTTTGAGGAAGACATCACCCAGGGTCCACATGTTGCCACCTGTAGCACCGAAGCCTGTGATACAGCTACTATACTGAACCTAGGACAGAGATGTAACAGGAGAATTTCAAATTTCAGAAATCTGCTTCTCTTTTTGTAAAGAAGTCAGAAAATACAAATTAAATTAGGAAAGAATGCTTACCTGATAGACATAGGCAGAGGCTGGCAGAGTGAACTGGTTTCCATTGATGTTGAAGGTCACATCAGGCATTTGGCCAATGTTGCTGCAGTTGACAATGTACTAGTAGAAAAGGCAGTGATGCAAGAAAGGAATAGAAAATAACCTGGTTTTAAGTAATGTAAAGTTTCCTATTTGTTGGAAATAATACTGCAGTGTGTCAGACAAGAAGATTCACATAATTCATGTCTACATGCAAAAGTTGACAGCAGCCTGCTAAGTTAACCAACTATACAAACAACAGGAAACACGGATAGCCTGAAAACGAGCTTAAACATATGATGATTATGAGTTTTACAGACCACTGACCTCTCCATTCTGGCTACTTGCTCCCAGCCAGGCATTGATGTTGTCAATGTCGCTCTGAGGTCCAACAATCATAGAGGTTCCAGTGTCCACAATAGCCTGACAGCCGTCATTGCAAGCTACAGCCTGACCATTACCAGAAACACTGTAATGGACAACACAGTATGCATCAGGGAAGAAAGTTTTTTGCCAATATAGCTCTATAATGATTCTGAAATCAATACAGGGCTGTAACTTTTGGTTTTACCTGTCAACTGTGATCTGACAGTACAGTTCCTTGGAGAGAGGAATCCAGGTGATGGAACCAGAGTAGTGATTGGTATCAACACCACCAAAGGTCACTGCACTGCCTCGCTGATTGTTACTACAAAAGAGTTTAACCAGTGGGGAAACTAGGAATCAGTTTCTGCCTAAATACTAATTGATATATGAGGCATCTATAGATAATTTCTAGAGTCAGGTAGAATGCTGCATAGTACTTACGAGCTCAGATACACGGAGAAGAGGTTCAGGTTGATCAAGCCCCCATTCATCATGTTGTCGAACACAGGTGTTGCACTGGAGAGAGACAGGCTTGGGTAGGCCAGACCAAATATACCGTCAGCCTGCATGTTCTGCATGAAGGGGGCCTCAGTTTGGCTCAAACAAAAGGATGAAGCCAGTATTGAAAACAACTTAAGTACTGTATAAGGTACTTGCAACTTGAGTATTTCTATTGCATGCATTAATTTTCATTCATATTCCATTCTTTTGCTTTTTATATTATAATGACATTTTGTAGTATTACCTCTTAGGCAACTGTAGTTTTAATT